AAATAAATAAATAAATAAATAAATAAATAAATAAATAAATAAATAAATGAATGAATGAATAAATAAATAAATAAATAAATAAATAAATACATAAATAAAAATAGAATAAAAAAAGTAATTGAATAAATAAACAGGGCTGTGACAAAACTATGAACAACGTAGCAAAGCAAGATGAACAAAACTGTGGCAAAGTATCAAAACGAGACTATGGCAAAAACATACTGAATAAAGTAAACAAGACCATGGCAAAACAAGGCTGTGGCAAAGTTCAAAAATGCCCACACGAGCATTAGCATTAGCATTAGCATCTGCTAACCCACAGGTCTGTGTCCTAACCATTAAGTTGTTATCAGAGTAAATCCCTGTTCAACATGAGTCTGACAACTAAGAAAGTAAAATAAATAACTTTAAACCCAGACGAGCATTAGCATTAGCATCTGCTAACCCACAGGTCTGTGTCCTAAGCATTAAGTTGTCATCAGAGTAAATTCCTGTTCAACATGAGTCTGACTAAGTAAGTAGTCTGTCTAAGTAAGTAGGCCAAATAACTTTAAACTTTAACACATGCTCTAATAGGCTGGGATTGGATTGGAAGTGACAAAAAGCTGGATCGGGACATCCCCAGTCAAGTCACGACTGTTTTAAAATTGAGGGTTCATTAGTTCATTGATCGTCATGCTTGGGCTGCCTGACGAATTCCTCTATATTTCTCCAGGATCATGTGGGAATCCTGTGGGAAGGTACCTGTCTCCGTAGAGCAACGGTTTGGTTAAGCACTGGGTGCAGGCCTCGTGGAACCACTGGCCACAGCCGGCACACTGCAGCATCTTCAGGTTCCACCTGAAAAACAACAAACAACCGGAAAAAACATGTGAAACAGACGCAGGAATTCCCGTCCCCAACTAGGACTCCAACTTGGTGTCACACTGCTGAGAGGATATTTTAGAACTGAGAGAATCTTGGATTTTTTGCTAGAATGAATCCAAACAAAATTTGGATATATTAATATTATCATCCATCCATCCATTATCGTAACCCCTTATTCCCTAATGGGGTCTCAGGGGGGCGGAGCCTATCCCAGTAGCCAATGGGGAGAGGCGGGGTCTCCCTGGACGGTCCCCAGTCCATCACAGGGACACACAGAGACACACAAGGACCAACAACCACACACACTCACACTAAGGGCAGTTTGGAGTCCAACAACCTAACATGCAGGTTTTTGGAGGGTGGGAGGAAGCCGGAGAACCCGGAGAGAACCCACAGACACAGGAGAACATGCAGACTCCACCCAGAAAGGTCCTGGTTCCCCCGGGACTCCAACCCAGAACCCTCTGGTCCTGGTTCCCCCGGGACTCCAACCCAGAACCCTCTGGTCCTGGTCCCCCCAGGGACTCCAACCCAGAACCCTCTGGTCCTGGTTCCCCCCGGGGACTCCAACCCAGAACCCTCTGGCAGAAAGGTCCTGGTTCCCCCTAACCCTAACCCTAACCACACCACCGTACCCCTCTAGTATCATCACTTGTTTTAAGCAATCCACTCAGCAGGTTTAGGTTGGAGACCTGGTTGATGGACTCAAAAGTAGGGATGGGACGGTTTCTGAAAACCGTCTGAACCGTTGGGTTGGACTGTCTCAGTTCGGTTCCTGCTGCTCCTTTTTCTCAGAGGGAAGCGTTTACACTCCAGAGCAGAAGGGGGCGCTACTGCGCCCAAAGCCAACCACCAGTAGGAACAAGAAGAAGAAGTCAAATGTCAGACTACTTTTTTCTTTCAGTTTTAACCTGACTATACAAAACATAATAGATTTTCCTAACAATCAACATATACGGAACCGAACCGAAAACCGTGACCACGAAACCGTGAATCGAACCGAACCGTGGATTTTGTGAACCGTCCCACCCCTACTCAAAAGCGTCCTACAGAGTGACTCACTCTCCGGGTCCAGCGCAGTAGCAGTAACACTGCTGCTGATTGGTCAGGTGCTGCGGGTCCCAGTCCAAAGACGAGAGCTGGTAGGGGAGCCGCAGCTTCATGAACTGCATCAGCCGGGCGAAGCGTCCTCGTTTCAGGGCTCCGCCTCTCTGCAAAGGTCAGGACATCGCTAGTTAGCCAGTTAGCCGCTAGTTAGCCGCCAGTTAGCTGCCGGTTAGCCGCCAGTTATCCGCCAGTTAGCCATCGGTTAGCCGCCAGTTAGCCACCAGTTAGCCGCCAGTTAGCCACCGGTTAGCCGCCAGTTAGCCACCGGTTAGCCGCTAGTTAGCCGCCGGTTAGCCGCCAGTTAGCCGCCAGTTAGCCGCCGGTTAGCCGCCAGTTAGCCACTGGTTAGCCGCCGCGCCAGTTAGCCGCCGCAGCTGCGCACAGCTAACATTATTTTCTCTCTATGTTAGCAAAATGCTGCTGCTCGCTTTTTAATAAATACAGAAGAACCTCTACATACGAATTTAACTGGTTGCAGGACCGACTTTGTATGCTAAAATATTCGTATGTTGGTTCAAATATTCCCATCAGAATACACTGTAATTCCTAGAATTTGTTTCAAAAACCTACGATAACTCCTAAATACACTAAACACTAAACACTGCAGATAATTACACATAGCAATAAAACAAATGCATTATAAAAGAGAGATGTAAAAAATGAATAAATTATAAAGAAATAATCTATAAAAAGGGTTTTTACTGGCTCTTATTGGAGAACGGAGGTAGAGGTGGAGACTGAGACACAGGACCAACTCTAACTTACTCTAACTTTCACTACAAGAACTTTAAACTAACTTAGCCCATTTAATTTGATTTTATTTTTAGATATATATAATTTTTTCCAATGACTTTGACATATGTTTTTTAATTTACTTTGGTTGTCGAGTCGAATATTTGACCAAATTTCACTTCCGATGTTGGAAAATTGATATGTTTAAGCAATTTAAATATATATAATATATATATATTTTTTTATATTTATTTTTCTATGACTTCGACGTCTGTTTTTAAATTTACTTCGGCTGTCAAGTCGAATATTTGACCGAATTTCACTTCACTTATGTTTAAGCAATTTCAGTAAATGTTCTACTGTATTGACTTAAATATTAGATTTTTTTTTACCACAATGTGTTGCGAAAACCTGAACAGTCGACCGTTGTGAGGCTGATAAACTACACCGGAGTTGGGGGAAGTTCATTTAGAGCTAATCCATCCCAGGCGCTCCACTTCTGGAGATGTGGGATGAGGCAGAATGGGCTTAATCGCCAGTCGCTCAGTGTCTGGACTCCAGCTGTCTGGGACCCCGTTTCTCACAGCTGACCTACATCCAAAGCTATCAAAATCAATCAATCAATCAATCAAATTCTATCTATATAGCACTTTACAACAACCAGCAGGTTTCATAAGGGCTTACTTAAAGTTAGAGTAAAGTAGGGTTCATCCTGTATCTCTGTATCTCCACCTCTACCTCCGTTCACCAATAAGTGCCAATAAAAACCCAATTTTATTGATTATTTTTTATAATCTTTTTCTTTTTACATCTCTCTTATATAATGCATTTGTTTTATTGCTATGTGTAATTATCTGCAGTATTTATTAAGGAGTTATCGTAGGTTTTTGGAACGAATTATAGGAATTACAGTGTATTCTGAACCAAAATACGAATATTTTACCATACAAAGTCGGTCCTGGGACCAGATAAATTCCTATGTGGAGGTTCTGCTGTACTAATAAAATCAGAGTGCTACTGATCTTGTGGACTTAGCTTGTCCCACATCGAAGGTTTCCTGCCAGAGCTTTCAGACCTTGGTTGCGACTGCAAAGACGCACTGCCGACATATCCAGGAGTCTCCGTCGGCCTCGGGCTCCACGGCGGGCGTGTGGCACTCCGGATGGTAGCCTGTAAGGCAGAAATGTAGAAAGTACTGAAGTAAAAGTACAAGTACTATATAAAAAAATTGACTTGAGTAAAAGTAGAAGTGTTCTTTCAACTCCATACTTAAGTGGAAGTACAGAAGTACTCCATTTTTTTTTGTACTTAAGTATTGCAAGTAGAAGTATTTCAGAAATTGCTACTCAAGTATCGAAAGTACAAGTATAAGTAAAAGTACAAGTACTGTGTAAATTAAAAAAAGGCCATCAAAAGTGTGATAGATATTATTTATATTATTTCAAACGTGTGAAAGGCCATACAGGTGTTTACAAAAAACAGAAAACTACATCTGCATTAGCAATCAACAGCTCTTCATCTACTATTATTTATTATTCCAGAGTCAGAATCCTGAGCTGAGCCTTTATGCTAGCATGTAGCATACAGCTAGCCAGCTAGGTTAGCTTTAGCTAATGTTAGCTGCTACGTTAGCTGAGTGAACAGGGAGAACTGAACTAGCGCTTACTTACTAGCTTATATGTCATTGCATTTTTTTTTTCTTCAGATTAGATGGGGAATTTTTAAAGGCCATTATTTCACAATCTTTTGGGAGGCTTTTTTTATAGGCTATGCTTGATCCCTCAAAATCCGCCCAATGAGGTGCTAGCTTCACATATCGCGACAGAACTATCTATCATTACGTTTACACATCAGTAACGAGTAACGATTCAGCCCGTGAAAAATCGATCGGAGTAAAAGTATTAAATTAATCCAAAAGAAGTAGTGGAGTAAAAGTAACAAAATAAATACTCCAATAAAGTACAGATACTGGGGGGGGGGGGGAGAAAAGTGCGAGAAAAGAGGGGGCAACTAGTAAACCACCCGACGCAAGGTTTTTTTTTTTTTTCTCACTAAAGGTTATCGGAGCTCTGAGCTGACAGCTAAATTAGCTCCCATTTGTCGCTCACGCTTTAAAACTTCCTTCCACTCGCTTTTCTGAATGTTTAATTACACTGAAACAGATTTATGGCCTATTTGGGGGTGGGGGGAGGGGGGGAGTGGGGGGGTATTGTTTTAGTCCACATGTGACCTTCATTGTGCAGAATTTGACACAAAAAGGAGGCTTTCAAAGTCTTTCTTTAAAGGCATCCAAGTAAGATGATCGGGTTTAAATGCAGAAGCAAAGAAAATGGACCTTCAAAAAATCATTTTTTTCTCATTTCATCTGCTGTTGCATGACTGGAACCAGTGAACGTTATTAAGTTAAGTTGGACTGAAACAAAGACCCCGAACCAAAGGGATGAACCGGTGTTGTGCTGAAACCTAGTAAAAACTTAGAAAATGAGCAGTTTGAATTTGATCTGTTGGCACTTAAAGCAGTTAACAGACAGGAAATAGGATTTCTGAGGATTCCCAAAGAGCTGCTGGCTGGAAACTGGGCAGATGGATGGATGGAT